CGAGCAAGGCTGGAGCAGGGCCCGGGTTTTATTGATAGAAGGCTAGGTGCTGCCCCAGTGGTGCTGAAGCATGCAGCCAGGCCTGTCCAAGGCAAACACTGCAGCCCAACCTAGCCGGCCCGGAGCAACCCCCACTCCAGGCTGGCTGCCATGGGGGCTGCTCGGCACCCAAAGAGGGGCTCTTGGCTCCTTCTGTATTTTTGTGGTGGTTCTGCTCTAGACACAGCCCTGATTCAGCTTGCCAGAAAATTCCAAGGTTGAAACGTCTCCCCAACAGAAGGAGGGGAGTCACTCTGCTCCCAAATACTCAGACTTGGAAACACCTGCTCACTGTTGAAATTCTGAGGATGAGACAGGCATCCAGCAAGGTCCAGGCCCTGTTCTGGGGCTTCCTGCCCCCCCTCCCCCCACCTGGCACTTGAGCGTGTTGGCTAAGTGGGGCTTAGTTTGGGTTTCTCAAACTGCAGTGTTCACATCTGGGTCTAGATGATTCTTTGTTGTGCGGGGGGTGAAGTTGGGCGGGGGGGCTCTCCTGTACAACTGGAATCTGTTTAGCGGCATCCCAGGCCTCTGCCTCCTGGGACCAGTGGCCTACTCCAAGCTGTGTCCGCTAAAAACGTCTCCAGTCACCACCAATGACCCAGTGGAGAGGGGAGGGCAAAACCACCGCCACTTGAGACCTGTTGCTCCAGAGGGAGAAACAGAGACCCAAAGTAGAAATGCAGGATGTAGTGGGCTGGGCAGGCTCCAGGGGAACAGAAAGAAGACAGACTTGGAAGTTCCCAATGGAAAAGAAAGTGGGGGAAATAGTCTAAATAAGAAATTTAGGAGATGTTGCCCTATGGTGTGCTATGTAACTTCCCTCCTCCACCTTCTAAAGAAAGTCTTCCGCAAAAGTCTGCATCATTCACCAGGGCTTGGGGGTCAGATTTGTCTCCCTGCCTTTTCTCACCCTGGATGGGGCACGGCCCTCCCGAGGTGTCTGGTTACATGCAGATTCTGGTATAGACAGCTCCAGTTCCAAAGCGTGTGGAGGATGTACAGAAGTTTTCTTCTCATACTAAATACATGAGTTACTTGAATCTGTTTAGGAATGGGACATTCCTCCAGGATGAATAAAGTTGATCCAAATGTATTACTTGTCCCTTCTTTTTTTAAAAAAATTATTTTATTTATTTATTTATGGTCTTGCTGGGTCTTCACTGCTGTGCTAACTTTCCTCTAGTTGCGGCGAACGGCAGCTACTCTCTAGGTGTACTGCTTCCCCTTGCCGTGACTGCTTCTCATTGTTGTGGCTTCTCTTGTTGTGGAGCATGGGCTCCAGGGCACGTGAGCTTCAGCAGCTGTGGCCCCCGGGCTCCAAAGTGCTGCCTCAGCAGTTGGGGAGCACGGGCTTAGTCGCTTCGCTGCATGAGGGATTTCCCTGGATGAGGGATCAAACCCATGTCTCCTCCATTGACAGACGGATTCTTAACCACTGAGCCACCAGGTGTCCTTTCTTATGGGCAAATCCCAATCAGCAGTACCTTAACACATTTTTAACCAGGGACAGGTCTATCTCAAGGACATGTGTAAGCTCTGCAGCATTAGTATGCTCATCTAGTGAAAAAAATACCTCAGAGGGTTTCAAAAAATCACCTTGCACTGATTCATTACAACATGGTCAAGAGGGGGGACTGCTATACAACTGTTACCAGATAAATAAATCCTGTTGTATAAACAATGCACATGCGTGCTAAGTTGCTTCAGTTGTGTCCGACTCTGTGAGACCCTGTGAACCGTAGCCCGCCAAGCTCTTCTATCCATGGGATTCTCCAGGCAAGAATAATGAAATGGGGTGCCAGGCCCTCCTCCAGGGGATCTTCCTGACCCAGGGACCAAACCTACGTCTCTTACATCTCCTGCATTGGCAGGCAGGTTCTTTACCATTAGCATCACCTGGGAAGCCCCATATAAGCTATGTACCGCACTGTAATCTAGTGATCCAGACAGCTGAGGGCCTGCATCAATGATCTTATCAATACTGCATTTCTCAGGCAAAGTGCATATCTTTATGTCATCTTCTGTGATACAGCCAGCCTGCACCATGCCTCTATGGCAACTGAAAAGTGAAAGTCGCTCAGTCGTGTCCAACTCTGCGACCGCATGGACTGTACAGTCCATGGAATATCCAGGCCAGAATACTGGAGTGGGTAGCCTTTCCCTTCTCCAGGGGATCTTCCCAACCCAGGTCTCCCGCATTGCAGGTGGGTTCTTTACCACCAGCTTTACTGGTAAAAGGTGACAGGCAGTTTTCCTTCTGAAAAAATTTTTTGATGATCTACACTGATTCATCATATCCATGTACTGGTTTCTTCCAATGCCAAGAAGCCTTAGACAGGCAGCAGCAGTAAAACTGGGCAATGAATCATAACTTTTCTCACTGTTCATAATGTCCTCCATAATCCCAGGATAATACAAACATGGTGTCATCCTCGGGGCCTTTGCCGTGATATCCAGTGAATGGTGAGGGTACACACAGCATGAGCTGGTCTTGACTGTACAGTCCGTGCAGTACACGTGTTCATCTTTCTTGACGTGTTTAAGTTACTTCTATGTTGCCACTGATTGCGGACAGTGTACATGACAATCTCCTTCTCATATTCTGTGAATTTCCAAGGCTCTACGTCACACGGGCTGGCAGCTTGTTCTAGGAGTACTTGTGCTGAGTCTAGAGCTCCGCAGCTCTGTTCGTGATGCCGGAGCCTGGGTGGTGGGTGCCCAGGACGACACCTCCCACCGGCCCAGCATCACAGGGTGGATGGCCTGGGTTGCCCTGCGGCTCGGCCTCGAGGTATCTCAGTTCAGCCCAGGCCACGGGCATGGAAGCGGTGGAGAGGGGAGGCCAGGTGCCTTGGTGTCTGCAAGTTTCTCTCAGAGACACAGAATTTTAGAGCCGATTTAGTATCATTTTAATAAAAGTGCACATCATATGTACCTCCTTTACTGCTTTCCCAGTGGGGGGAAGGGCTGGGGAACAGCAGCAGGGAGGCTGGTAGCACCCATGGGTGGACCCGGTGACTGAACATTGTTGAGCAGGTACGTCACGGCTAGAAAAAGCACGTGTGGATGGCAAGTCTGGGGACCTGGACCCCAGGTCCCCAGGCCCACTCGTATTCTCGTGAGGAAATAACCAGTCGTTCAGCATCTGTGTTGTCTCTCACGGCACCCAGGGCTTTCCCCTCAGAAACCAGGGATTTATTTAAAGTGCCGCTCCTATTTGACTGTATCACTAAGTCCCCAGCACTCCTGGGCTTGGCACATGGTCTACATTCAAAACATATTTGTTAAATAATTAGATGACGTCCTGGGACACTCCTTACTTCCTTGACCAACAACCTTCGACTCATACACTAAGGCTTAGAGGAAACGTCACCTCCTCTGGGAAGTATTCCCTGATTTCTCCCAACAAAAACAACTGCACTTCCCTGTGTACACTCAGAACACTTGGCTCATACTTTTATTGAAACATGTATCACAGTATATACCATTTGATTATATATTATTTGGTATACATTTGCATATATTTGGTTGTATACTATGTGGTTGTATATACTATTTTGTCTGAGGACAAAAACTGTAACAGATCATTTATTATCCCCACTCTTACCAGTGCTTGGCACATAGCAGATAAATCAATGTGTGTTCAATGCAAGAATTAAAAACAAGCATCTCCCGTCTCCCTCTCAAATGCTTGACAGGTTTACATCCTGGTTCAAGTACCTCGGCAAAGCCCAGAATCAATAACTGCTTTGGGCATCAACTTCCTGGTGCTCTGACCCAGGGAAAGAACACTTGTTCAGTCCCTCTGAAGCTGGCCTGGTCTGGCTGGCTGGCTGGCAGGACAACGCACTAAGAAGCCTCAGTGCCAGCACCCCCGCTACCCCAGGGCTACGAGACTTCAGAGGACCCTCAGAAGCTTTCCCTGGGACCCCACCCCCACCATACACCGCCCCCCCCCCCCCCCACGGCTGGAGCAATGGACAAGACAGGCTCTCTGCCTGAGTGGACTACAGGGCACTTCTCAAGAGCAGCAGGTGTCCCTGCGCCTTCCCCCCTGTTCCATGCCCACAGCCCCTTGGCAAGGGGTGTGCCACACTGCGATTTATCACAAGAAGTATATCCTTGGCCTCTCTCCGTTTCCGGCACAGAGCTCCGAAAACCCTTGGAACTTCCTAAGTACAGAGAGCGAAAAAGATGTTTCCTATGTTGATGAGGTGACTTGGACCCCACCTCAGGATGCAGGCTCGTTGGCAGGAGAACCTACCAAGCATTAGAGGATAGGAACCTTCCCACCCAGCCCCCAGGCCTCTGGGGAATGGAGAGGGGCTGGACGATGAATCGGTTCCCAGTGGCCAGGGAATTGATCAGTCATGTCTGTGTAATGAAGCCTCCATAAAACCCCAAAAGGATGGGGCTGGAGAGCTGGGTGGGTGAACACAGGGAGGTGCGGAGAGCGGGTCTGGGAGAGGGCTTGGAAGCTTTGTGTCCCTCCTGCCTAGCCTGCCATCTGCCTCTCTTCCATCTGGATGTTCCCGTTACATCCTTTTTATAATAAACTGGTAATCTAGTAGGCAAAAGATGCCTCTGAGTCCTGTGGGCTGAGGGGGCTGTGGAAACCTGGATATGTAGCCAGTGGGTTGGGGCACAGGTGGGAACACGGCCTTGTGATGGGTATCTGGAGTGGGGGGGGGTGGGGGAGCGCGCAGAAAGTGCCAGAAGGGAGCTGAGCTGCAGGACACTCAGTGCATCGCAGGATTGCTTAGGCGGTGCAGTCACCCGCCCCGCCCCATCAGAACCGGGTGAAGAATCTGTGTGTGCTGTGGACCTCATCTGGCGAGAACGAGACCCCGACGTCCGGCGAACGTGGAACACTCGTGCACCTCCCGCTCAGCAGAGCGCATGGGGGTGAGGGGCGCTGGACCCCTCAGAGGGCAAACCCCGCGGTCCCTGCTGCCTACCTGGCTGAAGGTCAGGGCGAGGGTGCTCTCTGGAGACGGTCTGTCCCGGGAGGCGCCGTCCTGCTGAGCACAGTCCAGCTGGATCAGGCTGCGGCACTCCGGGTGGCTGGTGAATTTGCAGTCTGGAGGGAGAGAACCAAAGGGGGATTAGTGGTGAGAAATGCCCTGGGGACAGCATGCGGCTCCCAGAGGGAAGGGCGCTCAGGAGGGAAGCGGAGGCAGGCGAGTGGGGGTGGGGGAAGAACCCCGGGAGAATGTCATGGCTCCCCAGGCCCCCGAGCACGTGGAGGGGAGGAGGTGCTTAACAGTTTGCAGACTGCTTCCACCTCTGCTGTGGCATGTGGCCCTGCCACCGTTAGCACTGCTACTTTACAGATGGAACTGCAGCCGAGGGACTTCGGTGACTTTCTCTTAGGTCATCTGCCTTCAGGCTGGTGCTCTTTCTACTAATTTCTGTTACTCATCAGGGGTCACAGATCCCTGCGGAAGGACTTGAGTTTCTGGGCCCTGTTCTGCCGTCTATAAAGCACAGGCAATAACCGTCCCACTCAGTACACAAGGATGTCTGTAGTCACAGGGGAGGTCTTAAACTAAAGGTGCCCTGGTGGCTCAGACGGTAAAGCGTCTGCCTGCAGTGCAGGAGACCCGGGTTCGATCCCTGGGTCCGGAAGATCCCCCAGAGAAGGAAATGACAACCCACTCCAGTACTCTTGCCTGGAAAATCCCATGGACGGAGGATTCCAGTAGACTACAGTCCACGGGGTCGCAAAGAGTCAGACACGACTGAGCGACTTCACTTTCCTTTCCTTTCCTTTCCAGGGACAAAGGCATTATCATCAATGGGAAGGTCTGTCACCTGTCTCTGACCCAACCCCATCTAGAAAGGTGTCAGCTTCTCTAACCCGGCTCACAGCCTACAGACAGCATCCCAAACTAGGTGCCTCGGGGGAAACCTCATCTTTATTTCCTAAACAACGTTCACCTACGGAAGTAAGACATAACGTCCAGAGTTGAGAAGAGTGTAGGGGAATACCTTTGAGATAGGGAAGCTGAGGCTCAGAAAGGTGAAGCGAGATGCCCAATGACGCACAGCTCACCGGCTGAGCCACAGCTGTAAGCAGCCTCCGGCTGCCTCTCTGGAAGCTCCCGGGCAGAAGGGAGGTGAAGCTAAAGAGGGCAGGAGGCAGTGAGGCTGGGACCAGTGAGGGCAGGGGGCTGTATGGAGGATGGGGGCAAAAAAGGATGGCAGCAAGAGAAGTGAGCACGCGCCCACGAGCAACACCCCGATCTGAGGTTGGCTCCCACAGAGTCTGCTGGGCCTGCCGGGGTCACCTTCCTGCAGGTGCCGCAGCTCAGCTGGAAGGCCCGGCTGGGGAGGCGGCCACAGGGTCCCTGAGAAGGCTGCCCGATGGTGACGTGGGCGTGTGCGGGGGCATGGCAGCCGGCCCGTCTGGGTAACCTGGGGACGAGGAGAGCTTCTGACTGACGAGGGCTCGGCCCCCTTCCTTCCAACAAGCTCCAGAACCTCAGCGCACGTGGACTGCCTTCTTAAAAAATCATTAAGGACTCGCTTGGTCGTGTCGGGGTTCCTAAGTGGCACTCAGGATCCTGTGGATGTGTTGTTGAGGCACCTGGATCTCTAGGTGCGGCGTGCCAGCTTCAGTGGCTGTGGCACTTGTCCCAGGGATGTAGGGTCCTCGTCCCCCAGCTGGGGGTTGAACCCACTGCAGGGAGGACTAACTGCTGGGCCTCCAGGGGAGTCCTTGGACAGTCTTCTTAAAGCTGCTGCAGCACTGTGCCTGGGGCTGGTGGTGGAGGTGGGCCTCCCCTTCTCCCCAGGCTCCCGGGGGGTTTCGGAGTGAGACCACCACTCTTTTGAGCCACCACCTTCTCTTCTGCCCCCAAAGATGAGCACAGGGACCACCCTCCTTGTGCAGATTTTGCTGTGGATGCCACAGTGCAGCACCTGGGGATTCCAGAACCCTGCCGCCTTCTGACTCTGCACTCTGAAGTCCCGAGCATCCTCCAGGATGGCGCTCAGGAGCCCTGCTGCTCGCCTCGCCCACGCCTGCAGCCCGGCCCACAGCAGTGAGGCCCACCGTGGCCCCTCCTCCTTCAGAGCCCATCCAGGCCTTCCCGGACCTGCTCCGGGGGGGAAACTGTCTCGCCTGTGCAGGGGCTGCGTGGGGCCTGCTCAGAGCCACGCACCACACCCCTCCCAGCACCCCCATGCATTCCTGGGCCCCCAGAGGATTCCTGCCCAGTGAGGATGCCCTCACCCCGGCAGGGTGGAAGGCAGAGGGGAGGGTGTGCAGGCCGAGTCTCTGCTGCCCATGGAGCCCAGAAACACCAGGGCTTCGATAAGGGAGCCCCGAGGCCAGAGCCCAGACGGAGAGGCCTTGCTCCAGGCTCCACTCCTGGGACACACCTGTGTGGCTCCCGGCGGGCTCAGGGCATGAAGGATGCTCCAGGACTGCCAGCCGGTGGGGGCCCGCCAGCTCTGCCCGACGGAGGGCTGCCCCTGGCTCCCAAAGGCGAGAGCATCTGGACAGAGGACACCGCCCTGCCGTCTCCTCTTTCAACTGTGCCCTGCCAAGGCGGGCGGTCTGTGTCCAACTGCGCACTTCACTCTCTCCATGTCTGTCTGTCTGTCTGTCTCACTGACACAGACGCACACATGCTCTGAAAAGAGCACTAAAACCATGCGAAGATTTTCTTTTTTTTTTCTTATGGGTCTGATGCTGAGCTGGACAGAGCCAGGGAACAGAAGAGTCCAGGAAGAGTGGTTTGGGATTTTATAAAAAGCACACTTTAGCACCAATGAGTCTGTCCCATCAGACCGTGTAATCACAGACCGGAGCAAAACCACCAAAGCATGTCTTGATATTCCCTGGCCCCTGGAAACACTAAGCCCGGGGCTTTGAGACCAGCAGAGATGAAGTCAGAGTCTGCAGGCCCTTCTCCACACCAGAAGCGGACCCCGCCAGCCACAGCCAGCAGCAGGCAGGCCCCCGGAGCTCTGAGTGCGGACAGTCACGAGTCTGCAAAGACAGGGCCGTGCTCCACCGGGACCCAGCGCTTCAACCCTCACGGACCATGTTTTCCCCGAGACAGAAGGAAAGATGGAGACGCACCCCCAGAGGGGCCCTTCTCCAAGGAGGGGCCCATGTGTCCGGATGGAGAAGGGCTCCTGGGGCACCCTCAGACCCAGGCCACGCTGGATTCCTTGCTGCTCTAACAAAGCACCACCAACCAGGTGTCTTAGAGGCTAGAAGTCTGAAATCAAGTTGTCAGGAGGGTCACGCTCCTCCTGAAGACTGTGGGAGGACCCTTCCTTGTCTTTTCCTGGCTTCTGGAAGTGTGCTGGCAAGATCTCTGGTGTCCCTCGGCCTATAGCGGCAGGACTGTACTCTCTGCCTCCATCTCTGAGTCCAGCCTCTTTCCATTTCCCCATAGCACAGGACAGGTCCCCAGGGCCCGCTGGCCTTGGGCGCCGTGTCTGCACCCGGTCACCCTCACGGGATGCCAGTCGTCCTGGGTTAGGGGACCTCTTGCTGGAGCACGACCTCTTCCTGCGCTGTGCTTAGTCGCTCGGTCGTGTCCGACTCTGAGACCCCAAGGACTGTAGCCTCCAGGCTCCTCTGTCCATGGGATTCTCCAGGCAACAATACTGGAGTGGGTTGCCATGCCCTCCTCCAGGGGATCTTCCTGTTTTTAGGCGTGGGAAATATAACTCAACCCATAACACAAACCCTGGGCAGTATTAAGAACCCAGAGCCCTCAGTGTCAAACAGAGGGGGTTCCTCACAGACCCCAGAGGTCAGCGGCAGCCTGGCAGAGGAAGGAGGAGGTGGAGAGCTGAGCCAAGGCCGGGACCTCCGCCACCTCCACCGGCCCTGCTCCTGGCCTTCTGGGTCCCTGAAGGTCACACCAAAGGCGCTGTCCCCAGCGAGGGGGTCAGGTCCAGAGGCCATGGCAAGCTAATCCCAAGATGCATCTTCCTTCCACTTTAGCCTGGAGGAGGTGAACTCTGCCTGGAACATTTTGGAGATTGTTTTCCAAGATGCAAAAGCTACAAACCTCCCTTTAGTCCCCAGGGCTGCCAAAGTTAGTTCTTGCCTGACCCCAGTTGCCAAATGCACATACACACACACACACACACAGAGGCACACAGGCCTACAAAGAGGCTAATTTTTCTCAACCAGATGCATTCTGTTGATAAGGAACCCTTCAGGCCCTTTCACCCCAGGCTTGTATGCAAGATCTCAAGGAGAGAGGAGGAGCGGTCTGCTTCACTCTCCCTCCCTGGAGCCGGGATGTGGAGTGAGAGTGGGCAGGCTCCCAGGACTCAGAGCCTGGGTACTGCGCTCCCACAGGCCTCCCGGCGGTCACTCCCAGGTCGGTGAAGAGCAACTTCTCACCCTGTGACCAGAGCCACTTCTGAGGCCCGCGGGGAAGCCTCTGAGTCCAGGAGCTCCGAGTCCATCCGCTGGGTACCCCCGGCCTTCCTGGACAAGGTCAGCCTCAGAACAAGCTAACCACTTCCCCCGTTCTCCTTGGGACCCGCCCTGTGCTACGGGGAAATGGAAAGAGGGTGGACTCAGGGTAAGTACCTGCTTTACAGAGCCGCTGAGAGCATTAAATGAGGTAATTATGTAAAGCATAACACAGCACCCGATGCAAACTAAGAGATCGATAAATATTAACTCTTCTTATTAAGCGGCTAAAACCCAAGTCGGCCTCCCCAGCGGTCACGGCTCCTGGCGTCCTCATCCCATCTGTGTTCCTGGCAACAGTGTCACTGACCTCCCCCCAGACTCACTGCGTCCTGACACAAAGGCCCGGACGCATCCTCACACATGCGCCTGCGTGCCTCTTTGTGATCTGCCAGGCTCCTCTGTCCATGGAGTCGCCAGGCAAGAATGTTGGAGTGGGTTGCCATTACCTCCTCCGGGGGATCTTCCCGACCCAGGGACTGAGCCCACACCTCCTGCACCGGCAGGCAGGTTCTTCACCATGGAGCCACCCGGGAAGTCCCTCAGACCCCCACTGCGCCCCCTCCCCAGGCTGAGCAGGGGAGGCCCCCCGCCTCAAGCCCCCGCACAGGTGATGCACCAGCTGT